TTTCTGTGGCTGGTCGCCTACCTATAATTATTGAAAGGAATCATTTGCTCACTCAAACCTCAAGTTTATTCAAAAGCTAGTTCTCCCACTCTTACCACGTGAAAGGGTAGATAGGCACTTATAAAGCGAAATTCAAGGGCATTATTTCAAGAGAATGCGTAAGTTAAAGAGTAGGTGACGAGAATGAAAACAATAAAGAAAAAAAGTGTGAGAAAGGCAAGCAAAACAGTTAGCTGTTTATTAGCATTTTAATTATTTGTTTTTAGTTGAAGTGTTAAAAAAATCAAAAAATTGCTTTAAAAGATGGAAAGATTTTTATTCAGAGGTATCCCCGTATAACGAACCCGCATTTAACGAGATTCCGGATTTAACGACAGAAATGGAATCTTTGGTACAATGCTATAAATATATTAGAACCAGTGAGACCACCATAAAACATATTCAAGAGCGAAATAGGGTGGTGAGGCTTCTCAATTATTGCGTCAGCATAACTTAGGCAATTTATGTCTCCTGCCTCCCCTAGTCAACAAAATATGTTTTTACTTGCAATTTAAATGTAAGATAAAAAAAAAAAAACGAATAAAATATAACTTTGGATAAAATAAAATTTACATTTAATTCATTCTATAAAATTTTAAATAAATTATTCTTAAGAAATATTTGGGGCTTTCCTTCTGTAGCCAAAACTTTTGATCTCAGGATCCTTGAAGAAATTTTTCTACAGCTTTTTTTCAAATTTAACTTTAACTTTTATTGCAAAAATGAAAAATTTTCTAAGTGTAGTTTGGTTTTCATCTTTTTNAAAGAAGTGCAAATATTTCATTCTGTATCTACACACATTTTTTCAATAAATATTTTAAGTAAGATTTGTACATCTTAGTCAATTTATTTAATATCTTTCTTTAGCAAAACATATATATTTTCAAATTTATAAATTGATTTAAATCAATATGCGTATGAAGTCTTGATAGAAATCTGACTTTCTGTGCCTTAAAGTAAATGAAATTCAAAAATACTATATCGCGATACATCGCTATATCGCGATGCAAAACTGACGATATATCACGATATATAATTTCTAATATCGCCCAGTCCTAGTCTTAAGTTATTTAAGGTTTCATATGAAAGAATGATATTATAATTAATTTAATGCGCAAGTCAAATTTCAGAGATCGTTATTCTAAATCTTAGCGTAACGAATTCTACCCAGAAAAATTAATTTATAACCATCCTTAAGGGTAGTAAATATAACTCATTACATATTCACGTCAAAGCGGAAGTACTACCACAATTGCTATTAATAATGTATTTTAACTCTGTGATACTTATATTCAAACAAATATAGTGTCACAAAGGTTAGGCTTAACACCTAGAAGGGTATAATTCTCTGCAAATTATTCCCTCTTCGGAGTATTAGCATGATCGAAGAATTAAGATTTGAGGTAAAAACCATTAAGAAAAATATTGATGGTCATTACAAATGCTGTTGGAAATTTTTTTTTTTTTTTCATTAGTTGTGCCAAGGCCTCGCGTGATCACCCCAACCAAGGTGAAATTAAATTCCAAGATAACCCAGAAATGGTAATAAATTGCGTGGGCTGTTGCGCAAATAATTTGCCTCGGGTACAAAAAAAACTAAATGAGAAATTGAAGCAGGTTTGCGGATTCGCAATGCAGTTATACGAGTTTACCTCACTTTAGATTTGATATTATTTATTCAAGAAAATAAACATTAAATCTAATATCTTATTTACGGATTGTGATTGATGAAGAAAAAATGTAACCCTTACTAACCTGTATTACGGTTTTGATCGTGGGAATAATATATTTAGGAATAGAGTTGAAAAAAATAATAATAAACAAAACATTTTTTATAAAATATATCTTAGGATAACATTCTTAAGTTATTCAACATGTTGTCATAGAGGCGAAGAATGATTCATATTTGCCAGAAGAAATGTTATAATTACGTTGAATTTTTATTTAAACAATTAATATCCAAAAATGGTTTTCTTAATCGTAACCAACTATACCAAACAAAAGCTCTTAGATTAATAACTGGAAAATTCGTCCACTTTTAGAAAATATCAACTAAACATACACATAAAAAAGTTTTTTCTAAATTTAAATTGACATTTTAATATAAAAGTCTACAGAAAAATATTAACACAGACATCGGCTCAAATATTTTTTTCACTTTTAAATTTTAAACATTAAAAAAAAAAATACTGCAACTATTTTTTCTAGCAATAAAACATTATCAAATCTGTTGTCACATATACGTATACCGGTAATTTACAAACTAGCATTTAACAAACACATCAAAATTTTTTAAACAAACATATCAAAACTATTAAGGGAAATGCAAATTTGAAAGCAATTTTATTTCGAATTGATTTATAGATATTTCTTAATTTAATAATTTTTTTTACGAGAATAGTTTTTTCAACGGTCGGAAACGTTTTCAGAACACGAGCACAGTATTTAATTACCCTCTACTAAATAACATATTTTGATGAAATAAAAATCGTAAATTTCGATGTATATATAAAACTTCAATTAATTAAAATTAAATATGAATTTAGTATGAAAAATAAAACTAAAAGAAATAGAAAAATAAATAGTTAATATACAATGGAAAATCTTTTTGCTGATGTTAAGACACGCGTAGAAAACGTGTAAGATGTTGAAAAAGTGCAAACACCATCATGGAATAAACATAGCTCAATCATCATTCTACATTTTAATCATCATATAAAAAAGATAATGCGTTGCCAATAAAGCAAAATTTAGGAGATCCAGAAACTGATAACAGAAATAGGAAGCAGACGATTAAAAATAAGATTAAAAAAATTACCAAGAGATATCCGAAATCGATAACATTCTTCTTAAGCAGCCATATTTAAATCGTCTGTCATTAATGCATCCATTGCAATGTCGTGATCCGTAGAGAGTTCCATTTATCAGAATGTACATTGTGTATAAAAATTTAAGCAATAAATAAATACAAGAGAAGTACAATCCTCACATTGAATGAACTTTTGACGTCAAAAGATATCATGGAAATATTGGAAAACGAATTTTCTAAAATGAAACTGATATTTTTTTTTTTAAATGTAAATACCGCTACGACCAAGCACACAATTGTACGAAGTCACGTGATTTTTACACAAATATGGAGCCATCTTGGCAGTTCCGCATATGAAAAATATTAAGTGGAGTCATGTTGCTAAATGAGCTACGTTTGAATGTAAGGTATTAAGCTAACAAGCAGGTGTAAAGTCATATCGCATGACTTAAATATTTTTTTTTGTTTTGTGTTATTTAATTGCCACATACGAAAAGAAAAAGCTGGGTGTTTAATTCCAGTTGAGATAAGACATTAAGAAATATCGTTAATATTTACGAAAATATAATTACGTAATACAAGAATATTTTAAGTCTAGGCAGTATAAATTCACCATAATCAGAAAGAAAGAAAAAATGATTATGATATGCTTGGTCAAATTTTCATAAAAACAACACATTAACTTGACGTAAACAATGACGTATCTTTTCCACAAATTAAAAAAAAATAGTAAACGTTAAGAATATAAATAAATAAATAAAAAAAATTTAAAAAAATAGTCGCAGTAAATTTCTTTTTTGCTGTAACAAATTTTAAATGTCAATTTTTATTAGATTGAATTTTATAAGTGGGACCTTAAATTTAGTTTCATAAATTATAACTATTTCCGCATAATTTAATTTTTATTATTTTTATTTACACATGCTATTTTTTTTATAAATACTGTGATATCAAATGAATTTGTTTCGATTGTTAAAAATATATTATCCAAAACATTTAAACAAAGTATAAACTTTAATTTTTAAACTTTAGTAAAGTTATTGTTACTAAAAACAGCACATAATTTTAGGGGAAATTTCAAACTAAAATATGAAAATATTGATCATACTCTGCATCCCTGGTTTCATTATGGTTAAAACATACTGAAATCAAACATACGAAATTTCTCAAAAAATAAAACATTTCTTTAAAACAAAAAAAAAACAAAAAAAAAACAGGCTATAAATTGGTCAGATTTTAGAAAGAAAATTTAATATCGAAAAAAACAGTAGCTGGTTACAAAATAGTGGAAACTTTCTGAAATTAAGTACTCAAAAGAAGATTTAATATTGTTTAAAGGAAAACCGGTCAACAGCATAACGGTCAAACTGACTGAAATCAACAATTCCTTTAAAGGAAAATTTTATAAGACAAACAATATGATTTCACTAATAACTGGCATCAATTCATGATCAGAACTGACTGTACTTTTCATCGCTCTTTTAATAACGCGCGTGCCGATAGCCTAAGAGAAAAGGTCATCACCATTTTTATTTTTTCTTTGTTTGAAAAGAAGCTTTTAAGGATTTGGAGGGTGTAGATAAAGACAACAATGTTTCAAGTGCATTCATTCTGTGAGTCAAGAAAAGAGAAGGTTCCCAATTACTTGGAAGAAAAAAAAACTGGAGTCAAGAATAAGAAAATTAATGTGGAGAGTTAGATAAAAGCGAGAGCTTCAGGAAGTCCTTAATTAAATTTCGCTTCACTTTTAAATAAATTCTTATCGTCTGGTTTTATCTTATAGAATATATTGGAGTTGAGAGGAACGTTTAAGGATGAAAAAATTTATAAAATGCTTTATTTTTCTTATATTTTAAGAATGAAACTTAAAGAATTCTGATTAGTTAAAAATGAAGCTCAAACAAAAATTTTAGATTTACTAACTATTTTATAAGAGTCAAGGTCAGTTGCAAACGTAAATATTTTAAAATAATTTTAAGTGAATAAGTTAAACCTAAAAATATTAAAAGGTTCTTTAAATTTAAAAATCAATAGTTTTTTTTTTTAAAAAAAAGAAAAATCATTCGAATTAAATCAACGAACCCTGGTTTTTTTTAAAATTCAATTCATAACAATACAAAGATCTTTATATAAATTCTTTTTCATAAATTACACAAATGATTAGTCACACTACATCAGGTGACTTCAATATGTTGAATCACATATAATACCAATGACTATTATCATAAGACTTAGAGAAAAATGCAAGAAGAATTTTATAAATATCAAAAGGAGATTTGAACAGCAAGAGATAAAACGTTAAATGTAAATATTGAATATACATTACCTACTCGGCTCATAAAAATACAAATGGCATGACTTACCTAAAATAAAAAGAAAGAAAAAACATTAACCTCAAGGTTATTAGAATATAAAATGAACTACCATATTATATGTTTAAATTAATTCAATAAATATTTTTTCGTCTTTTTTCCAATATGTGATTATTATTATTATATAAATTTTGCTTGTTCAGTATGAGTAGGTCTAAGACGGATCCAATAGGTCTAAAATCTTACGGATTGAATTTTTTTATGAGGTTTAACAATATATGTGACAAACGGCCAATTAAAATGACTCTTAATATACACGATGACGAGGAAAAATTTAGATAATGTTTGTGATAAGAACGAATAACTAAGCAAAGCGTTTATCTCTAGTTATGATAAACATGGATCATATAATCATGCAAAGGCTTGTTCCCATATCTTCCTCTTAGACGGGGTGGCTCAGAGGATAGAGCGTTTGCTTCCCAATGAGGTGAACCGGGTTCGAATCCCAGCGATGTCTGGTCGATTAGAATTCCGGACTCGGCTCGCACCCACTACAGTTCTGTCGTAAAATATTCTTAGTGGTAGACGGATCCTGGGTTAGAGTCCCTTTGCCGTAAAGCTCACTGTTGGAGGTTTTCGTGGTTTTCCTTTCCATTTAACGCAAATACGGGTTAGTTCATCAAAAAGTCCTCCACGAAAGCTAATTTCGCTCCACGCTTGATCTAGTAGTTCCCTAATCTTCTGGGTTGGGTTCAAAATTACAAGGCTACGGAGTTAAACATTCGTAATCGTAAACTCAAAATAGGGTCGAAATTTATTTCTAGAGGCCCGAGTCCTGGGCCAATGAACCACAGCTAATTTCGAGCATTGCAAAATGTACCGAATGAAGTAAATGAATTTATGAATCAAGTCGAATACAAAAATAAAAGGGGAAACAAACACAAAAACATGAAAAAGTTTAATACAATGCTTTATGGCTGTGTAACAGGGATAAGACGGTTATTATAATAAAAATAAATGTTATAACTATTTAATTAATAATGCATCGTATGACAGAAAAGACAGCAATAAATAAAGAACCACCAAAAAATAAGAAGGAATTATTACATTTCAAGGTTTCATAACGATTCATAATTTACGAAAGGAATATGTATCGAGTAAAAATAATTCGAATCACAGGATAATAGGTGACTAATGTTTAACTAATCTTTTTGACAGAATACTAATGAATCATGCTGATACACTATTTTTATATATGATTTGCAGATAAATTCACGAAGTTTGGACAGAGGATAAAATATGATGCAATACTAATTTAATTTATTTTCCTTCATGATACCTGAATAATGAATCAACTTTTTTCGAATCCCGAAAATGTTATGTTAGGATGTAATTATCACCATATATCACTGACTTGTTGAATAAAGCTCAACTCGAATGGGGAGTTGAAAGTATCGAGTGATAGCAAGTGCAAATATTTGTCGAGTTTAATGCCTTTAGAAAATAAGGCCTTTCGAATAAAAAAAATAATTTTTTTTAATAAAATTAATGACAAAGCAAAAATGTACGCGTTTTTTAGAACTTGGTGATTGTTTTACTTTGCTTTGGTGATGGATATAATAAAGCTTAAGATAAGAAGTGCATAACCTGTAGTCCTCGAAAGGATTATGTGCTGCCCCCTATCCTCTAAATAGAAAATTATAAAAAAAAACTATTTAATTTCTGAAAAAAATATTTTTAATTGCCCGTCAAATTAATAACTACTTTCAAGATTTTATTACATGACAAAAAAATAGGGTATTAAAACTTTAAAATACGAATTAGAATGTCAAAATATTTAAATGTTTTGTCTTGCTGAATATTTTTTTGAAAAATGTTTTTAAAAATAAAAATATGTTCAAGACATGAGTAGTTCAAAAATTATATGTATTTAAAAATAAAAAAAAGTACAAAAACATAAGAAATAAATGTACAAATGTAAAAAAATGTGCTTATAATAAAAAAGAATTTAGAAATACTTTTTTTACGGAAATTTTTTTATTAATTGACCCAATCACAATTTGAAATATAAAGCGGGCAGTATTTCAGATTTTCTATTCATTTTTTCTGACAAAATTATGCGGATTCAATTTCGCAATCAACAAATTTTGATAATCAGCTAAATATTAAGCAGTTACCTGTTTTTAGATTTTTCATAAGTATCTTTGTTTGCATGCAAATAAAGTTAAAAGAATTTTTCAGCATCATTCAAATCGATTTTTCTCAGTTTAGATTGCAATGAAATAAAATATTGAGAAAAAAAAATCTAAAAACTGAGAAACGTGTAGTTTTATATTATATCAGTTTATTGCATTAAAATTGAGAAAAAATTTACAGAGGTTCGAAAAATTATTAAACGCTATTTCTCCTTATTCAAAATAATGACCTCTTTATTTTCTACCTTTTTTGGAACTATGAAACTATATTATCAAAAATTTGTTAAGTACAAAATAATATCAAGAAAATACAAATTAAAAATTTATTCGAAAACGCAAGGTGGCTCTTAACTTGCTTAACAAGGTGGCAATAACAGGGAACAGATGTCTAAAAACTAAATAAACAGAATGAACTTACCTTTACATAAATTCGTATAATTCATTTATGTATAATTATGATATTTAAGTATTAAAATCCAATCCCGCAAAAAAGTTCTAAAAATGGCGACAGTTGCAGACCAAAATTATCATAACACTTTTATTCTAAGAGCAGTAAAAACTATCGTACAATAGACAGCAGTTTTAAAAAGCTGGCAGCTAACTGCTCTGTTGGTTGGAAGACAAAAAGACATGAAAAGTTGAGTCGGTATTCTATTATTTTTAAAAGGAATAATTCATTCTATTAGCTTGTAAATCAAACGCCATTTTGGTCGTATTTGTCAACGACGCTTCATTGAGCTTTTGGTATTTCACAATATCAAAAGCACGATTTAACACTATATAGAAAGATATACGTTTTTTGAAATGAGCACTACACTGTGTTAAAATCGTATAAACACAAGAATTTTTAAATTTATTCACGACATACGTTTCAAATATATCTTAAAACATAAAAAAAAAGCAGATTTTCAAAAAGCATACATTTTAACATGAAAATGTATTCACTACGGTAAATGACGAATAATAAGCATAATGGTATTTACGTATAAACTATTGAACCTTATTTAATAGTATTTGCCTGTAATTTATCATCCCTTTAGAATATTGTTCTCTGGTATTATTAAGGTTTAATTTTCATTTTTAATCAAATTTAAAGACTTAAAACTAAAAGTGAAGTTTTCGCATTGTAAAGTAAAGGGATTTGTTCCAATTACGCATCATTTTATTTATGATAAAATTAGTTAACGTTTTACAACTATTCAACAGTTAATAAAATATGTATTAACTTTTTACTAAGTTGTATTTACTTTTATAATAAGATTTCGCCTAAAATACAATACAAACCACGGAGCTTTGCATAATAAATGTCCTTCGATGCAGTGGGCGAAAAATAGAATACAAAGAACTCAGTACAAATAAAATACTCCCACTCTTTGAGCCTTAGGGCGACCTCCATCTGATTTCTTTAACCACTCCTGATGTTTCAATTTTTAAAACTTGATGTGATTTTAATACATTTATGCTATTACATTTATGTATTTTAAATTGTTAAAAATGAATTTTTTTTTTGGTTCGAAAACCTTTTAGTCTTAGTGGCTAGATGTGTGGCGGCTGTCTCTCTGCTGCCAGGCTGGGCCAGCGGCTGATGTGGCCCTGCCGCCCGGTGGGGTTTGAGTAGAAGCTTGATAATAAAAAAAAGTTCAATATTTTTCAAAACTTTATGGAAAAAGGTAAACAAGACTGCATAAGCCGATGGCTCAGGGGATAGAGCGTTCGCCTTCCAATGAGGTGAACAGGGTTCGAATCCCAGTCGATACGAATTCCGCATCCGGCTTGCACCGACCACACTGCTGACGTGAAATATCCTCAGTGGTAGACGGATCATGGGTTAGAGTCCCCATGCCGTCAAGTTAACCATGGGAGATTCTCACGATCTTCCTCTCCATGTAACGCAAATGCGGGTTAACTCCATCAAAAAGTCCTTCAAGAAGGCAAATTTCTCCTAATACTCGATTCAGGAGTTTCCTTGTCTTCTGGATTGGGTTATAAATTACAAGGCCACGGAGTTTGAGCATTAGTAGTCGTAAACCCATAAAATTGGTTCGGCTGTTCAACGACGGTTGTAAAAAAATAAAATAAAAAAAAGAATTATTCATAATTCAATCAATATACAAAAAGGAACAATCTTCAAATTTCTAAAATAAAACGTAATGAATTATTTCCTCTCAGTCGATATAGATTTTTTTCGGTCCATTTTTTGCTTTGCTCAAATATCATTCATTACTATAATAATTTAGTTACTTACAAAAATTTAAGAGCATTCCCAAAATCTATAATTAGTGTCATCAGTTTTGCGATAGTCACACAAGAACAAGAGAAATTAATGCATTTTCCATTACATAGATAAATGTTGATACGAAGCAAAATAAGTAACAGAGAATAAAATACTGCAAGAAAAACGATACAATACTGTTAACAGTATTGATCCACCTTCCTGACATTTTCTCAATAATCGTTTAATGATAAATTTCGCTAACGGTGAAAAATATTTCTTAGAAAACTTTAATCCGAAAGACATTAAAACTGTTCAAAACTTTGAGCTAAACTCTTGAAAAGTGCTGAAGATCTGGAAAATTACTTTTTTCCTCAGTAAAAAAATAAAAAATTTAAGAAGATTATCGAGGATTTAAAAGTGAAGAACTTTTGTTACACTTAAAAAAAAATTAAGTAAAAAAATGGATTGAGGGTTCAGGTGGGGAAGGGGGGCATTTTTATTCAAGAATCTTCAGGTGAAAATTTAAATTCAGGGGAGATCCTCCAAATTAAGCACATTTCATGTTTGAATATAACCAAATTTCATGTTTAATTCATGTGGTAGTTATTTAATATTTAAAATTTTGTTGAATAAAAATTTAA